GAAGGTTTTCTTATTGTTTTTCACGTCCCCCTGCCTGTGGGAGGGGGGTTGGAGCTTGATGATCCTTGAGATCCCTTCCAACCCAAACCATTCTATGATTCCATGATTCTATGAATTGAGAATGAATGACAGACTGCATTAATGCAGATGCACTACTTAGGAGAAAAGCTGGCCTGCATTAGCAATTCCTTTTGGTTCCTATGATGTAATCAAGTTAGGTAGGTGTTTGTATTACTGCAGGCATCCTTCATTTTTTTCAGTCACTCGAGATTTTAGGTTGCCCTGTTATAAACTGCTCTGTTTTTCTGTTTTTTATCACCATAGATGTCATCTAGTTACAGAGCCCGTATTCTGAGGCAATACCAAAATGGCAGAGGAGGTCATGAGGAAGTCACACTACTACTTTAAAAGGTAAAATATCCTATCCCTGCACATCCTGGTTCTTCTATTCCTGAGTTTGTCAAACTCCATGTATTTTCCCAGATTGACACATCATCAAATACCCCCTAACCTTCCTAAGAGTGATTGTAGCATGCTTGTGTGGTGGCTGTGACCTTGAGGTATATACTTCTAGGATATTGTATTTCTGAAGGAGCAGAGACTGTGTCATGTATGTACCAGTGAGATATCACCTCCCCAAACACAAATCTGCCCGTGGTACCACTTACGTACTGCCAATGTTTGCCAGTTTGATTTTGCTTGATAACAATGGACACAAGTTACTGTCGACCAGCTGAGAAACAATTTTCCTTTTCTCCTGTTGTACTGTCACTGTTCTCCTACTTTGTTACTTTTACCTGCATAATTCCATCCATTCTAATCTTCAGTGAAAAACTAGACCAGATTGTAATATAACTGTGAGGAATAGTTAAGTTTAATGAAAGCAGTTTCATAGGATGAACCTTTTGTGAATTAAGTTTGTTGGTAGAGCTTTAATTCTTCTAGGATTTACTTGTCATCAGCTGGTCCATTATGAATGCAATTTTGCCTGCCTACATTAAATTCTAAGTTATATTAAATATTATTTGTTGAGACTAAGTACTTTTTTCATGAAAGAAAACTTGATACTTGAGAGTACCTGTTAATACAGGGAACCTTTCCCTGTCCCCTAATGCTCTGAGAGCATCGTCTCTATTGCAGGTATGCTAACAATAAGCTCAATTGAAATGTCAGCACTTAGCAGTAGCTCATGAAGAGCTCTTGCAGAACTGTTCCTGGTCCTGATTCAGCAGTCATGTAGGTACCTAGTTCTGACACAAGAACTGTTATAGTCAGTAGGTTGGAGATACAGCTCAATGCATGCTTTCTAAAGGAACTGTTTTTCATGTGAAAGTACAAAATTCCTGTAATTTGGCCAATGGTCAAATGGCCCAGTGACCTGGGAGCCAGAAGTGTTTGCCTCCAATGTCTGTTCCCAGTATGGCTCAGTGGCTCTGGTATTATCACACCTTCACGTTCTCAAGTAAAATGATGTATAGAATAATTGAATTATATATTAATACTGCTGAGAGAGTAACTTTCTAACCTTCTTCTACTCCAGTGAGCTTAGCTGTGAAAAATTGGGTAAGAAGCAGGGCCTTGCTGAATACAAGATACTACATCTGAAGAGTGCACTCTTGGATAAACAGAAATTACAGAGTAAATAACAAAATGTGAAGAAATAAAATCCAAATTGAAGTGTGGAAATTGTGGACTGTAGAAGTGATTACTTTTATAAATAGTTTTAAATGTGTATTTGCTCTCTCAGTTTCACTATAAATTGTAATGAAGTACCTCTAAGTTCAAGTGTGAATAGGGCCAAATCTTGGAGCTGTTGTTTAGGTGAACAAAAAACCCTGAAAAAATCAATCTTCCAACTGAAAATACTTGTGTTTTGACTCTCTAAAGATAGCAGGGCTGAGCCTGATTATCATATTATTCTGCTGTCTATTTATTGTGCTAAACATTTGCTATAACCTTTTTGCACCTTCCTTGTCATTCACGCTTGATATAAACTAAAACTGCACAAAAAATGGTGGATTTTAAAAATCTCATACATTCTGTCTGTAATTATTCTGGTGGCATGGTGTGACCTGCTGATTCAGTTCTTATTGAGATGAATATGAGCTACTAGTAGACCAAGGTTCAGTGAATACATTAAATCTTGAAGCCCCAATCAATCACCCATTTCCTCATGGCAGTGTCTAGGATGGCTGGAAAATAAGAAGTATCAGAGGTGATTAGAAGAGACCTCTTTGGATGCAAAAAGTTTCAGAAAAGTTGTATATCAATTTTGGATTCACTTTTTTCTGATGACTTTTTTGGTTTTTTTTTTTTTGGCCATTACAGGGACTTAGGAGAAAGTGAGTGTTTCACTCTCTCCACTTCACTCTCTGCTTTGATACAGCCTACCTGGCTGCTCTACAGGGTCTAATACATAGCAGCCTTGTCCAAATAGGAACTGAACACCTTTATTTCCTGCCTGAATCCACTTTGCAACTGGGGCTCAGCATGGGGAATCTGTCATTCTCTCTGCGAGCAACTTTAGAAGAGAAAGTCAAAAAAGGAAGAGCAGTCACTTTGGACTAAATTTTAAAGGCAGTGGTTTAACCATTCCTAGGGAATTGGTCAAGTGGCTCTTAATGCTATTTTCTCTCTCAGGTGTTTGACCCAATGGTAGAAAGGGTTTTCTTAATATCTAAAGTTATTGTTCCAATGTGTACACTCCAGTGACCATCATGATTGATGCTATTAGGGAGTAGAGGAGCAGGGGAGCACACAGGAACATATGAATGACTGTGCACTCCTTGTCTTCTTTCAAGCATTTCATTCTTTTTTTTTCCACATAATCTTTTTTTCTTCAGGTTTACTGTGTATGTATAGTATGTGCAGTCTTTCTCACACTCATACCAGTTTTCCTTTTGCCATAGTGGGAGATGTTTCACTAATGATAGAATCAGGGAATATTGTAGAGACAAAGGATGCAATTTGCCCTATCTACTGAGCCTGTTAAACTTTAAATGCCCCATTTTCATCAAATCTGTATGGCTGCACAGGAAGAGCAAAGGGTTATTTCTGTTCTCAGTTACCTGTTCACCTCAGTAAGAACTACGGTAGGTTTATCTTGGGATGTTTCTGTTACTAGTGGGAATGTCAGCCTACAGAGGCACACAGGGGATGGATACTTCTGGAGTGAGAGTTGTACTTTAATTTTTTTTTGACCAGAGTAGGTAATTAAATGTAATTATGTGGGCAATTTTGCATTTTTAATACTAAACACTAGGTTTCTTTTATTTTGTGATCTCACTTAACTTATCTTTGTAGATTTTAAAGGGACAGAAGTCTGTTGCAATATTGTGAGGACTATAACATTTTAACAGTGCAGCTGTCTTGACTGGCATCACTACTCTGATACACAATGCTTTCATTAGAAATATTTACATTTTGAAAGTGATTGCTTGCACAGTTTTCTGAGTATAATCTACAAAGGTGCAACTAAACTGCCTTTCTTCTGGAAAACATTTCATCAGTCTATCCTATGCTAATATGATCACTCATATGTTGTACATCTTCTCCATCTCTTCCTACCTATAAATTATTCAGAACTTTTATAGCTAAAATTGTGAAGCAGTGATTTTATTTCTGTCTTCTGAAGTGCTACAAAGGGATTTGGCTTGGAATGAAGGGTATGACATCCTTGTGAAATTGGGAAATCAGGAATCAATTGTGACTGCCAGGCTCTCTTATAGAAACATAAGAAAGATGGGTAAAAATATATGTTTTAGTTAAAAATATTAGAAGACTCAATATAAAATATTTCAGCTGGCACAGCTTAGTCACTAGAACGTACCATCAAATATAAAGTAAGCATGTCAAAGTTTATAGAGCTCTTTTCTAGATAACTTTATATCAACTCCCTCCCTTGAGCTGACTCAAAACTGGTTAATTCCACTTTGTACGATAAATGCAACCCCTTGCAGCAACCCAAAGATTTAATTATTTTCACCTGAAAATGCTTAATTTAATCATCTATAACACAAGCCATCAAGTATCTAATGACTTATCTTGCACAAAAATTACAATTTTTTTTGCTATCAGATTCTGTAATTCCCTCTGATCGACGGGCTTTTCCACTTAACTACCTCCAAGGACACTTCTCAGGAGTGTGTGGGCTTAAGATCAGAGGTTGAACTTCATTTATCAACTTGGAGAGAAAAACGGGGTATATGTCAGAAAGTGAAGTTTGAAGCTGTTGTTGCACTGTATTGTGCAAATTTTGGCCTTGATTCTGGAGCAGTGTAAGGTTAAGGTAGGACTACCTTTTTTGCATTTTCTCCCTAATAGCTTACATCAAGCTATGTTATCTTTCACACAGCAGAGTAACCTTTCTTTTCTACACAAGTTGATGTGTGCACTTTGTAACCCATGTGCAAAGTAGAGTCTGTGCTCTGGAGTTCTTGACCCACCTGAAGAGTACAGCTTTGCAGAGGCACAGGCCATTTTGTCTTGATCAAACTGCATAGTCTGGACTACAAAACATACTTATTTTATTTATCCCAAAGAAGTGTAATTATTGCAGAACACTTGTGTGATTCTTGTTTTGTTCCTGATATGTGAGCTTCTTCCTCTGTGGGAGTTATGTGCTGTTTGTGTAATCAGTGGTGATGTGATTGGCCAATTCTTACTCTAAATACCATATTCCTACTTACTAGACGTGTGGTAACTGCTAGATCATGACCTGAACCAGTGATTGAGCACCTGGTGAGGCGGTGTAGCCAGCCCTGGGAGCACAGGTGGAAGCAATTTTCATGTGTGTGACCCTGGGTTCACCCCTCCCTAATCTCATTTAAGGGCTGGAAGGTGCAAGGGGAGTATGTCCACTTAGAGATTGTCTCCTTTGGATTGTTCTGTGAGCCCTGATCCTCGGGAAGATGTAAGTGATTCCTTCTTTATTGCTGGATTGTGACTGCTGCCTTTCTTGGTTTCAAAGCAACTCTATCTGCTGCCACCTATCCTTACACTGGATAAACTCCTGAAGTCTGGGAAAATCCAGCTCTTAGTGCTAGCAATTCTGCAAAGCACAGAGTGCCATGTAAACATGATACACTAAGAATGTGATATTTAAATGATTGTTTGAACTTCCATTATTAGAAAAATGAAAAGTGTATTGATGCACTTGTGGGATTTTTTTAATATGATCCTATTAACTGTTATTACTGCTTTGCTATGTGCTTTTGCTTTAGTTGATTCTTCTTTAGATCTGTGGCTAGTTCTGTACTCCACTCTTTCCCTGAAGCATGGAAAAATTTCTCTGCTTGCAACTAGGATTAATTTCAGCAAGCTGGTGAGGTTGAGTGGCTGACAAGCTTAGAAAATATTGTATGTAACAATATGGTGTTACATTGAGTGTTAACCTAAGTGCCTATGTACTG